GATGAATTCACTAGCGAATTTTTCCAAACATTTAAAGAGGACCTATTGCCAGTTCTTCTCAAGCTTTTCCAAGAAATTGAAGAGACAGAAACTCTCCCAAACAGTTTCTATGAAGCCCATATCTCTCTAATACCAAAAGGAAACAAAGACACCACAAGAAAAGAAAACTACAGGCCGATATCCCTGATGAACATGGATGCAAAGATTCTCAACAAAATACTAGCAAATAAAACTCAACAAGTCATCAAAAATATCGTACACCATGACCAAGTGGGATTCATCCTGGGGATGCATGGATGGATGGTTTAACTTTCAGAAATCAATCAACATAATCCATCATATCAACAAACAAAAAGATAAAAACATATGATCACATCAATCACTTAATCACTTAACTTCCCATTAGTCGTCGATTTGCTCGAGCTGGCGCCAGTAACGTCTCCATTTGTCCCTGTCGCGTGCTAGTGTAGCCCAATGACATCTGTTCGCTCTGGGAACATGAAGAGCCTCAAACCGATCGTTCATGATCTTGACAAAGAAGTCTGACCATCTGGTAGGTGGGCGGCCACGCGGTCTTTTGACATCCCGTGGAATCCAGTCAGTAACAGCTCTAGTCCAGCGGTCGTCTTTAAATCTCATTACGTGACCAGCCCATCTGATTTTTGACACCTTGGCAAACAAGATGGCGTCCCTGATTCTTGATCGTCGACGAATGTCAGAACTCCGGATTCTTTCTCTCATTTGAGTGAAACATGATATTCCAAGCATAGCTCTTTCTATTCTTCTTTCTATTATTCTTCTTCATTGATCACATCAATAGATGCAGAGAAAGCATTTGACAAGATCCAGCACCCCTTTATGATGAAAACCCTCGCCAAAATGAGTATGGGGGAACTTTCCTCAATATAGTTAAAACCATCTACCACACGCCTACAGCAAGCATCATCCTCAATGGGGAAAAACTGAGAGCCTTCCCTCTAAGATCAGGGGCAAGACAAGGATGCCCACTCTCTTGACTGCTGTTCAACATAGTACTGTAAGTACTTGCAATAGCGGTTAGGCAAAAAAAAAAAATATTAAGGGCATTCAGGTAGGAAAGGAAGAAATCAAGTTCTCACTATTCACAGATGATATGATACTGTACTTAGAGAACCCTAAAACCTCTACCAAGAAACTCCTAGAAACAATAGACTTGTATAGTAAAGTTGCAGGCTATAAAATCAATACCCAAAAGTCCATGGTTTCCCTATACGCAAATAGTGAGAGAAAAGAAAGTGACATAAAAAAAACAACCCTGTTCACAATTGGGCCCCAGAAAATCAAATACCTAGGAATCAGCTTAACTAAGGAAGTAAATGACCTGTCAAAGAAAACTACAAAACGCTACTTCAGGAAATAAAAGAGGACACGAGAAAATGGAAAGATATCCCCTGCTCATGGATCGGGAGAATTAGCAATGTCAAAATGGCAATACTTCCCAAAGTACTGTAAAAATTCAATGCAATCCCTATAATGACACCCATGGCAATCTTCAAAGAAATGGAGCAAACACTCCTGAAATTCATATGGAACAATTAAGCCCACACGAATAGCTAAAGCAAATCTTGGGAAAAAGAAAATGGAATGAATCAACCTCCCTAACTTCAAACTCTTCGATATGCCAGACACAGTAACAACAAAGTCTCCAATGGAGACGTTACTGGGCCCGCTCGAGCAAACTCTTCTACAAAGCAGTAATAATTAAAACAAAGGCAGAGCTGCAAACCAATGGAACAGGGTTGAATATACTGACATCTACTCCCCAAACATATGATCTTTGACATGGGAGCAAGAAATGTGAAATGGAGCAAAGAAAGCCTCTTTAACAAATTGTGCTGGCAAAACTGGACAGCTTCATGCAAAAAATGGGCTCAGATCTCTGCCTAACACCAGTACAGAAGTAAGATCAAAATGGATTAAAGACCTTAATATCAGACCAAAATCCATAAAGTACATTGAAGACAAGGTTGGCAAAACCCTCTACAACATTGAAGCTAACGGTATCTTCAAAGATGTCATGTCACTGGCCAAGCAAGTGAAAACAGAGATAGAAAAATGGGACTATCTTAAACTAAGGAGCTTTTGCATCTCAAAAGAAACAGTGACCAAAATACAAAGACAGTCTACAGAATAGAAAAGGATTTTTGCCCAATACCCATCAGATAAGGGGTTGCTATCAAGTATATACAAAGTACTGGTTGAATTCCACAAGAAGAAAACATCCAACCCCATCAAAAAATGGGGCAACAAAATGAACAGAAACTTTCTCAAAGAAGAAATCCAAATGGTAAAAAAGCACATGAGAAAATGCTCTACATCATTAATCATCAGGGAGACGCAGATCAAAACAACAATGAGATACCATCTCATATGACAGAGACTGACCCACATCCAAAAGAACAAAAGCACTGGTGTTGACATGGATGTGGTGAGAAAGGGACCCTCCTTCACTGCTGGTGGGAATGCAGACTGGTTCAGCCCTTTTGGAAAACAGTACGGACGATTCTCCAAAAATTAAAATTGAGCTCCCATTTGACCCAGCAATACCACTCCTGGGAATATATCTCAGAGAGGCAAAAAAAAGTATAGTATTGTTGAAGTGACATCTGCACTTGTTTGTTCACTGCAGTACTGTTTACAATAGCCAGAATCTGGAAAAAACCTAAGTGCCCAAGAACAGACGGCTGATTAAAGAAACGTTGGTACATCTACACAATGGAGTACTGTGTAGCTGTTAGAAAAGATGAAGTCATATAATTTACATACAAGTGGTACTACATGAAAAGTATCATGCTAAGTAAAATGAGTCAGAAAGAGAGGGACATACATAGAAAGATTGCATTTTTCTGGAGAATATAAAGTAACAAAATAGGAGACTAACACCCAAGAATAGCCGAGATAAGTACCAGGAGGTTCACTCCATGTCTTGGAGGCCAGCCCCACATGCTAGGGGGAAAGGCAGCTCAGATAGAGAAGGGACCACCAAATAAAGGGTGTTGGGAAGATCCTCCCAAGATTGGAAATGCATGCTGAAAGTAGACTATAGACTGAATATGATTGCCACTCATTGCTTCTTTTGCAGACCACAACACCCAAAAGGAGAGAGAGAACAAAAAGGAATGCCCTGCCACAAAGGCGGGGTGGGATGGGGATGGGTGTGTAGGGGGAGGAGGGATACTGGGATCATTGGTGGTGGAGAATGGGCACTGGTGGAGAGATAGGTACTTGAACATTTTATAACCGAAACCCAAGCACAAAAATTTGTAAGTCTACAACTGCTCCTCATGGTGTTTCACTAATAAAATTTTTTAAATAAATGAATAAAAAGCAAGTATACACCAAAAAATAAAAAATAATAAACTATTGCTTATAAATTTCTCACAAAAAAGTAAAAATAGAAAATAAAAATACAGTTGAACTATACCCAAACTAAAATAGGGAGGCAAAACAATGATAGACACTTCTTCAAAGAGGACATAAAGATGGCCAATAGTTTTAAGAATTCTGCTCTTCATACTTGTCATCAGGAAAATGCAAATAAAAACAACTGCAGTGAGATTGGCACATACAAAAATAGTAAAATCAAGCAATGCTGGCAGTATATGAAGGGGGGGGAATAATTTATTGTTGGTAGGAATGTCATCTGGTTCAGCATCTATGGAAAACAGTATAAAGACTTTTCACAAACTTAAGAATCAAACTTCTATGTTTCCTGAAATCCATTTCTGAGCATCTATTCCCAAGAGCCCCAAAATACTATTTCAAAATAACGTTTGCATTCCTATGTTCATTGCAGTGTTATTCATAATAGCCAAGACAGGACTGGAGCGATAACACAGCAGGTAGGGCTTTTGCCTTGCACGGGACCAACCCGGGTTTAATTCCCAGCATCCCATATGGTCACTAAGGTACCGCCAGGAGTAAAGTAATTCCTGAGTGCAGAATCAGGAGTAACCCCTGTGCATCGTTGGGTGTGACACCAAAAAAGCAAAAAAAAAAAATACTCAAGACATGGAAACATCACAAATGCCCCAGAATGGATGAGCAAATGAAGAAACTGTGGCATAGATGCACAGTGTAATTTGCTCAGCTTTAAGAAAAAATGAAGACATGAAATTCACTGTTATGTGAATGTAACTAGAGGATATCATGCTGAGGTGATATTAATCAGAAGGAGAAAGGAAATTAAAGAATGAGCTGATGATTTCTTTCATATGTGGAACTTGAAGAAACAATGAGTAAGACATAGTAGAGAAATAACAAATATTCTGTAATAACATACCCTGAGAGGCATAACTGTGTCTATCAAAGGGTGGGATAGGAGTAGGTGGGAGAAAACCTTAAGACATAGGAGGAGATATACTGGCACATTGGCGGAGGGTGTAGTGTTGGACCATTGTGTGCCAAAACTTTAATATTAACAGTATTATCAACTCTGGTGCCTACATAAAAAAAATTAAAGAATAAATGTTATGATTCTTTTAAATCCATGAAGCTATTCTAGATACAAATTTAAGCTGTTGAAACTTAAATTTCATTTTTCAAGACTTACTGTCATTGTCACTATCCTCCTGTTGCTCATCAATTTACTCGAGTGGACACCAATAACATCTCCATTGTGAGACTTGTTGTTACTGTTTTTGGCATATCAAATACATTATGGGTAGCTTGCCATGCTTTGTCATGAGGGCGGGATACTCTCCGTAGCTTGCTGGTCTCTCCCAGAGAAGCAGAGGAATTGACCCCGGGTCTGTTGTGTGCAAGGCTAACACCCTACCCACTGGGCTATTGCTCCAGCCCATTTGCAAAACTCACAATATTATTTTCTCTGGACATTACCAACCACAGATAGATAAATATCTGATTGTTAGGATTTGGCTAAATATAGATGATCATAAAATCATACCCAGCATTCCTTGTCACAAAAACAAAATTCTGAGACTTAAAGAGCATAAACTCACCAAAAATATAGAAGATATAAGACCATCCTACAGTCTGGCAAAGGACACCACCAGTGAGAAGAATGATGATGTATCCCAGCAATGACCCTAGACAGAAGACGTGGGAGAACATGCCATGTGAGTTAGTTAAGCTTGAGACTCTGTTACCTGTATACTAACCACCCCCCCCCCATAGATATGAGTTGCTTTGTGATTATTAGCGTTGTAGTATCTAGATTAAAGAGTTGACCAATTAAAGAGTATACTACCTAGGTTTGCAGTACCAATTAAAGAGTTGGCTACGAAGGTACAAATCACACTCTTATGAACCCAGTTACCTGAGTTTGCTATGGCGATAAGTTTATTTCTTTCCAGTGGGGGACCCCATTTGATCCAAATTGAGTATTGGCCTGTTGATACACTAACCTGAAACAAAACCATTTTTAGCTTTCTGTGGTCAACCTAGAACTTATATTCCATTGAACCTTAGAAAAATCTTGGTACCTGTGCTATTCCTTGAATAATCCGAATGATAATGATCAAGGCCACCCCAGTATCAGCTGCCAGTGGGATGAATAAAGACAGGACTGATGAAATAAATATGCCAGCTCCGACCACATACTTGGCTCCAAATATTCCAGCTATATAGCCACTGGGAATGGGAGTCAAAAATGAGCCATAGTTGATGGAGCTGAGAATGATTCCCTGGATTTCAGGACTCCAGTCATACACTGGGGCCTAGGTGACAAAAGGAATTTTGTTGTTCATCTGTAAGAGCTGACAATTTCAGCATGATTATTTAATCAACAACAACATAAACCATAATTCAAGTTCTCTTATATTTCACCTCTCCAGTTCCTACAATCCACCAATTTCTCCAAGAAATAAATATATGCTAAACATTGTCTTTCCTCATATACAATTTTCCTGATTATACAATTAACTGACCAATTCAAATTGGAGAGCCTATAAATAATAATTTAAATATGAAAGTTCATATAAAAGCAAAACTCATAGGCAAGACAATAAAACATGTGGTGAAGGAAGAAAGAGACAAAACATAAATCTTTGAAACTTATTTTGGGGTGATTTTTGTAAATTTTCATTTTAGGTGAAGATATTATGTCTACTAATAGTAAAAGGTTTTCTTCATCCCTAATCCTGGTTACACTCATAAACAATGAAGTTAATGTATATTCTCTCAAGATACATTTTACAATCATGTATGACATGATTTCTGGAATTTAGTAGATACTCAAAAAGCACCTTCAGTTCAAATTAATTGAGTCAAAGAATGAATTCAAAGTCTCATTCACTTACCATTGCCATAATTTCTTTCTGGGTTTCATTCCAGTTGTCCTTGGAAACAATGGGGGGTCCTTCTGTAGAGGTATTGGGGCTGCTGGGCAGAGCTGTGATGTTAACCATTGCTGGGATGGCAATGTTTAAGCTCATGTTTTGGGTGAGAACAGAAAAATTACAGAGTAGCAAAATGAAGGCCAGCATGTATCGAACTGAAAAACAGCCTGAGATAAGAAGGTACAGAAATACTTATAATTGGGTGCTTTTCTCCCACCCTACCTAAGTCTGGAAAAGGTAAAAGGCTGGAATTTATTGAAAGAGGAAGCCTCAGTTTACCCTTGGAGCTACTGAGAGCTGTCCTGTTTGTTGCTGGCCCATCTCACTTTTTTTGACCTCCTGCATATTCCTGGGCTTTTGGGATCAATAGTCAGTTAACGATTGTCCATCGTAACATTCTGTCCCAGAGCTTAAGCTCACAAGGAAACTAAGATAACGGATAATACCTAAGGCAGATGGGCAGAAAGACTCAAACCAGCCCAACCATCCTGTAGATTCTGTGCATTCTCTGTAATATTTTTCAATTGATAAAAAATGCAAAAGGTCTTTAAACAGGCCTACACAAAACTTTTACTTTTAACTTAGTCTTATACTAGTTCCTCCCCATCTAGAGGATTCCTTTTCCTTCTCTTCTACTTTCTAATAAACTTTTCTACTTTCCAATTCTGAATCTTTCCAACCCTGAGCAGCTTTATTACTCAATACTTTCATTCTTGAAAATAAAAATATAAATAAAAGAAACCATGTAACTAAAACGAAAATGAAAAAATATTGAAGAACCTGGGAGCTAAGAATGAATGAACAGACTCACTGATCCAGCACCAGTTGCATCACTACGAAGCAGAAATAGAGATAAAACAGATGATGCTCAATACGTGTTTGGCAGACATTTGTCCTCCTAGGAAGTAAGTGAATTTAAAAACTACCCTAGAAGCATCACTCGATTCTTCAAGAATGTGTGGAGTTGGTTTGTGTGAGCATTAGGTGCAAGTTTCAAATACAGAGTCCCTGGATGAACTGATGTAGACAAGAAAAAAACAAGTAGATTTAGATAATTGTCTGGAAGCCTTCATTGGGTGCGAATGGTAATAGAGTTGTTGGAAATGACCCCCAAGTGCCCCACATGGGCAGCCAAGATGGCTTGAGGTTTTATTTCTAACCAGGGAACATAGCATAACTAGAAACTAGAAGATAAACCTGGAAGTTAAAGTTCATTATATGATAAAAGTAGCTCAACTTCATCAGGAAACTATATTCCAGGCTTGCACAAAAAAAAAAAATGTTTACAGCATTCTATGGGAATTCTTTGATTATTATCCGAGGTTGAATTCAAACAGACCCAGTAGAATGACCAGTAGCTTAACAACTGTGAAGAATTGACTGAGCTCACTGCCTTCAGGGCAAGTTGGGTGTCTGATTACCTGGGAGTAAATGCAGTAGATCTAACACCCCTTCCAGTTCCTGAAGTTGACACATAAACTCCAATTTGGTTTAACTAGGGGAGCATGTAGTTGAGTATCCCGCTGTACCACCCATTAAAATTTTCATTGAAATTTGGATGAATATGATAATGATATATGCTCTGAATAGAAACCAGAGTGGCGTATTCAATATGCCAAAAATAGTAACAAGTCTCACAATGGAGATGTTACTGGTGCCCACTCGAGCAAATCGATGAACAATGGGAGGACAGTGCTACAGAGCTGTAATAATGATATGTCAGAAGAAAAGCTTGCCTCATTTACAGTATTGCCTACTTTCAGTCAAGAACAAGGATGCTTTCCCATGTATTCAAGTCTTTATCTACTGCAAAGTAGAGTTCTTATCTTTCCTTCAATTAAATCCCATTCAATGAATTTTTGAAGTTCCTTTTATTGTTTTATTGTGCCACCCCTGAGAACATCTTGAGACAACTGGAATGGGAAGGAATGGGAGTGAAGATAGACGGTCGGCAACTACACCACCTACGCTTCACTGATGACATTGTTCTAATAACACCAAACATTAGCCAAGCAGCACAGATGCTGGCCGACTTCGACCGTGAGTATGGAAAGGTCGAACTACAGCTGAATCTCACAAAGACAATGTTTATGAGAAACGGCCTCATTTCTGACGTTCCATCCGCTCTCAATGGGAGGAACATCTCCAAATGCAACAGTTATGTGTACCTAGGTCGAGAAGTCAACATGATGAATGACCTGGCACCTGAGTTGCGCAGGAGGAAGAGAGCAGCTTGGTACTCCTTCAAGAGTGTCAAAGAAATAGCTAACAGGACGAAGAACCTCCGGCTCAGGGCACATCTCTTTGATTCCACTGTTCTTCCTGCATTAACATACGCCTCAGAGACCTGGGCTCTACGAAAACAGGATGAGAATGCTATTCGGGTCTCCCAAAGAAGAATCAAAAGAGCTATGCTTGGAATATCACGCTTCACTCGAATTGAGTTTTGACCTGTCGACGATCAAGAATCAGGGACGCTGTCTCATTTGCAAAGGCGTCAAAAATCAGATTGGCTGGAAACGTTATGTGATTTGGAGACGACTGCTGGACTAGAGCCGTTAGCAACTGGATTCCACAGGACGTCAAAAGATTGCATGACCGCCTACCTACGAGATGGTCAGACTTCTTCATCAAGACCTTGAATGATCGGTTTGAGGCTCTTCATGTTCCTGGAGCGAGCAGACGCCATTGGGCTACACTAGTGCATGACAGGGATGAATGGAGATGTTACTGATACCCACTCGAGCAAATAGATGAGTAACGGCATGTCAAGTGATCAAGTTTTATTATTTTTATTATTTAGCCTTTTTCTCATTCTTTCTCATCTTTCCACTAATTTGGGTTTGGGGAGGGTGGGGGGAGATGCTACAAACAGTGGGGAAATAATAGCAGTTTATTTTTGCCTTTTGTGGCACTCATTTTGGTTTTTTTATTTCCTGTCATTTTATTCATTAGATTTTCACAGTGTTAAACAGGGATGGTGAAAGGGAGAATTCCTGCTGTATTTTAATTTTCTGAGTTTTCTGAGCTTCGCATATTACATATAAGATATGCTTCTGGTTATTGGTGGAATTTATATTGTATTCACTACCCAATTACTTTATGTAATTATTTATTTGCCTTAGGGACAAGGTGATGCTTAGGGCTTACTCCTGACTCTCTGCCCAAGGATTGCTCCTGGGGGGGATTGGGGGACCTATATGGGGGACCAGCCGGGGATTGAACCTGGGTCAGCCCACGCCAGGTAAGAGTTTTACTCATTGTCCAATCTTTTACTCCATCTCATTATTTTTATGAGAATACATAGGTTTCATCAAGTGAATTTTAATCCAAGCACCAGACATTTGAATCCCACCTGCTGTATTTTCTGCTGTGCCTTCTTGGGAATGTTCCTGAATTCTTTGGCCTCAGTATTTCACCTGTAAAATTGTGCTAATAATAATAAAGTAGATGTCCACATAAATTATTTGTATTTTTTTCTTCATGAAGCATATAAGCATTCTCTGTTCTGTAAAAATCTCACAGAATTTTTTTCTGTGAAACTTCTGTATCATCAATTTTTATTTTAGAAGGAATAATTTTTGAAAACTTTCTCTATTTCTTATATGCTTATTGGATGAACTTTTTCTTTTCTTATTTTCCTTCGGAGAGCCCAGCAAGCTACCAAGAGTATCCCACCCGTATGGCAGAGCCTGGCAAGCTACCCGTGGCATGTTTGATATGCCAAAAACAGTAACCACAAGTCTCACAATGGAGACGTTACCGGTGCCCACTTGAGCAAATCGATGAAGAATGGGAGGACAGTGCTACAGTGCAGTGCAATCTATAAATTATATAATTATAATTATTGTAAGGTTTGCTTGGGACCAAATGTAAGGTTTGCTTGGGATCAAAGGCAACCAGCTGATGAGATATTACCAGAATCAAAGATCACCCTGCTCCCAGGGCAGAGGACAAGACTTATGGCCCATTTGGTGACAGGAAGCCATCAGACTGCAGTCTGTGCTTCCTCACATTGACCCCCTACAAATAACAGAAGGCCAGACCAAGCGCACAGGTCCCACTGGTCTCTGTTCCCTTTTCCCACCCAAGACAACTTAAAATCCTGCTTAGGGGGCTGGAGCTATAGCACAACGGGTAGGGCATTTGCCTTGCACGTGGCCAACCCAGGTTTGATTCCCAGCACCGCATATGGTCCACCAAGCTTGCCAGGAGTAATTCCTGAGTGCATGAGCCAGAAGTAATCCCTGTGCATCACCGGGTGTGACCCAAAAAGCGAAAAAAAATGCTGCTTACTCTTTCCCAGGGCATATCTCTACACCCCAGCCTCACCAGAGGTCTTAAGGTCCACTGCACCCCAATCAACTTCTCCTATGTCTTCTCTTTACTTGGTTATGTCCCTCTGTTTGTGCCGAGTGTGGTTAGCAACCTATCAATTATCATGTCACAGTAGCGGTATAAGAAATATATAGATGAGTTTTAATCTCCGTATAAACATCATTTTAATACTCAGTCTGCTCTTTCCAATATTACTTATATTTAATCCCTTTTGTGTATCACTTCTATTTAATCTCTTCTGTGCTGTGACTAGCATATTAGTTATCAAAGAATCATATCTTGTATATAGTTTTCATCTCAACTTTGCTTGTAAAGTAAGCTTACATTTTCTTTATTTTTTCTCTCTCACTAGCCTTGTTTTTACTTTATTTTTAAAGCTGTTTATGATTTATTACATCCAATTTTCCAAAATCAATCCCACCCCCAGTGCACCTTCCCACCACCATTATTTCCAATGTTCCCAACCACTCCTCAAGCCTGTGCCTATAGCAAGCCCTGAATAATTTAGTTTATATTGCTTGGTATATTCAATAAAAATGATCAAAAAATATTTCCTTAGAAGAAGATGTGTTTATATTGTGTTATTTCACCATGCAGTCCAGGTAGAAACCATTACTAGCATGTTGTTACTGGTTATGAACTTATATTTTTCTATACCTCAGTTGTCAGTTTTGTTTTTCCACAGATTTTTCCCAAACTTATAGACTCAGTGAATTGACTACTTAAGAAGCTGGTTTTCTCCTGGAATGTTCTAGAGAAGCAGGAAGCTGCAATATAGATGAAAGAACGAATAAAGGTGACGTCTAAGATATGGTGCAAAAGCCCATTGTCCCTTGATCAGTCTTGACCAGACAATGAGCAGAGAGATGTTATGATATGATATGATATGATATGATATGATATGATATGATATGAGCAGAGAGATGTTCCCTCAACTCAGAAAAGCCAGGATTGGTTTCTATGTTTTGCATTTGTCATCTGCTCTGATTTTTTCTCTCCTGAATAATATTTTGATACCTCTCCTGTATACCATCAAGGTTTCTAGCAGAAAAAAAAAGAAATAATTCAGTAAAAATTATTTCCAACTATGCACATCTCTTAAAAATTAGTAGTAGCAAGAGAAGACTCTGCATTTTACTAAAATAGAGGTCAGGGTGACAATGATACCATATTTTTTCAAGTCCATGACAAGATTTTACCTCTTCTGGAGGTTTGTACTTGATCCATGTTCAAGTTCCCATCGTTGGAGATATGTCCCACTGTTTCCTTAACTTCTTCTCTAGTAGACATTTGGTTTCCCTTTTCCAGGAACTGAAATAGATAAGACCACATAAAACACAAAGAGACGGATAAAATATACCATATGTGACGCTGTCCCAACTCTGAGAATTGAGTGGAATTATTTGGTGGGAAAGGTCTAGACCCTATCACTGACCAATCATGTGGTCTGGGACTTAGTCACCACTTCTCTAAAATCATGGATTTGGCTGGATTGCCTTGTTTTTCCCTCTACCTGTTCCCACAGCTCTAAAGGATATCAGCATCGAAATGATGGTAAAACATGGCGCCCATGCTTGAAATTTTATCTGTAAGATTCCAGTGGATTAAACTACTTGAAAAAAAAACATATTTCAAACATATAAATTTACTGGATAAAATATAGAAAACCTCTTTATTTTTTTATTATTGAAAAAAATTGCTGAAATAACAATAGTTTATAACATTAAATAGGTTTCAGTTGTGGGAAAATACCATTTGTATATCTGTTCAACACTCAATCTAATTTTAAGCTTTCTTTCAAATGCATAGCTTTAAAGAGAGTGTGTGATTTGATGTCATGGTAAAATGAATGCAGTGAAAATTCGTATGTTATGAAAAGCTAGGTGTGAGCTAACTAGCTCTGCAGTAACTCTGGGACCATACCAAGGAGGAGACATTCACTTCAATGATGCAGCGGCATGGATCTCAGTTGCAGTGAAGCATGAAGCCTAGGCTCATACTAGGAAGGCGATTACAATGGATATTCTAAAACAGTCTAGAGTGGTAGGAAGAGAATCAAAACTTGCCTCAAGAGACCCTCACCACAGCAGTCAGAGAGTAACAACTTTCATCCAGAGGACAGAGATAGTACAGGGATTAAGGCACTGCCTTACATGTGATTGACACCAATTCAGTTCTAGCACCACAAACACAGCCATAATCACAGACCTAGTAGCAGACTCCCAATCACAGAGCCAGTAGAATCCTTGACTACCACCCAATGTGCCCCCAAAACAAAAACAAAACAAAAAGAACCTCTTCTCTACATTTTCCTGAGATCTGTTTAAAAAGAAAGAGATTCCGGGCTGGACCAACATTCCAACAGGTAGGTTACTTGCCTTACAACCAGGATCAATTCCCAGTATCCCACATGGACCCTGAGCATCACCAGTAAGGAACTCTGAGAGCAAAGCCAGGGATAAGCCTTGAGCACAGCCAGGTGTGATGCCCCCCAAAAAAGAAAGGAAGAGGGAGGGAGGGAGGGAGGGGAGGAGAGAGGGAGGGAAGGTGAATGGGAGGGAGGGTGGGAGGGATGGTGGGAGAGAGGGAGGGAGGGAGGAAAAGTTTCATTACCATAAACATGTCATTAAAGATACAGCATTAAAAAGGGGCATATTCAATATAGTATTGGAAGTCCTGGCTATTGCAGTTAGGCAAGAGAAAGGTATCAAGGGAATACAGATAGGAAAGGAAGAGGTGAAACTATCACTATTTGCAAACAATATGATACTATACTTGGGCTGGAGCAATAGCACAGCTGTAGAGCGTTTGCCTTGCACACAGCCAACATGGCCAACCAGAGTTCGATTCCTCCACCCCTCTCTGAGAGCCCGGCAAGCTACTGAGAGTATCTCGCCCGCACTGCAGAGCCTGGCAAGCTACCCGTGATGTATTCGATATGCCAAACACAGTAACAACAAAGTCTCCAATGGAGACGTTACTGGGCCCGCTCGAGCATATCAATGAACAACGTGAAGACAGTGACAGTGATGATACTATACTTAGAAAACTCTAAAGATTCTACAGAAAAGCTCCTAGAAACAATAGGAGGGTTTAGTAAAGTGGCAGGCTACAAAATCAACACCCAAAAGTCCATGGCTTTCTTATATACAAATAACAAAGGACAAGAAATAGACATTAAAAATGAATCCCGTTCACAACAGTACCTCAGAAAATCAAGTACCTCGAAATCAGCTTACCCAAAGAGGTGAAGAACCTATACAAGGAAAATTACAAAACACTACTTCAAGAAATAAAAGAGGACACTAGGAAATGGAGACACATGCCCTTGTTCATGGATAGGGAGGATTAACATTATCAAAATGGCAATACTTCCCAAAGCACTATACAAATTCAATGCAGTCCCTATTGGAATACCCATGACATATTTCAAAGAAATAGACAAAACACTCCTGAAATTCATATGGAACAAAAAAACCTCACAAATACCTAAAACAATCCTTGGGAAAAAGAAGATGGGTGGCATCACCCTCCCCAACTTGAAACTGTACTACAAAGCAGTAGTAATTAAGACAGCATGGTACTGGGCTAGAAACAGAATAGCAGACCAATGGAACAGAGTTGAATATTCTGTCACAGATCCCCAAATATATGACCACCTTATCTTGGACAAAGGAGCAAGAAATGTGAAGTGGAACAAGGAAAGCTTCTTCAACAAATGGTGCTGGGAAAACTGGATAGCTACCTGCAAATAAATGAGCTCTGACCCCTATCGGATGTCAGGCACAAAAATCAGATCAAAATGGATTAAAGACCTCAATATCAGATATTAATTCATAAAGTACATAGAGGAAAATGTAGGCAGAACTCTCCATGACATTGAAGCTAAAAATATCTTTCAGGATGAAACAGCACTGACCAGGCAAGTGGAAGCAAACTAAAACAAATGGGACTACATCAAACTAAGAAACTTCTTCACTTCAAAAGAAACAGTGACCAAAATACAGAAAGATCCCACAGAATGGGAAAGAATATTTACCCAATACCCAGTGATTAATATCCAGGATATACAAGACACTAGTAGAATTGTACAAGAAAAAATTCTCCAACCCCATCAAAAAATGGGTAGAAGAAATAAACAAAAGTTTCCTCAAGAAAGAAATACAAATGGCCAAAAGGCACATAAAAAATGCTCCACATCGCTAGCCACCAGGGAGATGCAAATCAAAACAACAATGAGATATCATCTCACACCACAGAGACTGGCACACATTCAAAAGAACAAAAGCAACCAGTGCTGGCGTGGATGTGGGGAAAAAGGGACATTCTTTCACTGTTGGTGGGAATGCCCACTAGTCCAGCCTTTCTGGAAAACAATATGGACAGTCCTTCAAAAACTAGAAATTGAGCTTCCATATGACCCCGCAATACCACTCCTGGGAGTATATCTCGAGGATGCAAAAAAGCACAGTAGAAATGACATCTGTACCTATATGTTCATTGCAGCACTGTTCACAATAGCCAAAATCTGGAAACAACCCAAGTGCCCTAGAACAGATGACTGGTTAAAGAAACTTTGGTACATCTACACAATGGAATACTATGCAGCTGTCAGGAGAGATGAAGTCATGAACTTTGCTTATAAATGGATAGACATGGAGAGTATCATGCTAAGTGAAATGAGTCAGAAAGAGAGGGACAGACATAGAAGGAGTGCACTCATTTGTGGAGTATAAAATTACATAACATGAGGCTGACACCTAAGGATAGTAGATACACTAGACAGACAGATTGCTCCATTGCTGGAAGCCTGCCTCATGAGCAAAGAGGAGAAAGTAGCTGGAACATATAAGGGATCACTAAGTAAAAGATGGCTGGAGGAATCGGAGATGTGTGCAGAAAGTAGATAAAGAAACAAACATGATAACCTCTCAGGGACTGTATTGAAAACCATAAAGCCCCAAAGTAGAGAGAGATTATGGGGAATCCTATCTACCATGGGAGGCAGGGGGAGGGTGGGAAAGGGGGGTATACCAGAGATATTGGTGGTGCACTGGTGGAGGGATGTGTATTTGATCATATCATTGTGTGATTGTAACCCAAACGTGAAAGCTTGTAACTATCTCATGGTGATTCAATAAATTTTTTAAAAATAATATAAAATCATTACACAACCCTAAAAAAAGAAAAAGGGGCATATAGCTTGCTAATAATCATATTCCATAATTAGTCATTGGTCTAAAGAGAGAATGTAATTATAACAGAATAAGATGAGGGAGTAGATAAATTTAACTTTTTCAATTTAAAATATAGAAAAATAGATAACTATCAGAACTATATATAAAGATAATAAGCATGAGAAAATACACGATTAGTACTACTGAATACATAAGAATTAGTAAGATCTTGTTGTTTTCTCTCCGTATTATTTCATAAATATATGAAACATTTTTATCACAAGGATTAGGCAAAAGTAGAAGGGAAGCATTTTTATTTGTGAGTGTCAAGTCTCCTTCTTCCTCTCAATAGGAAGGTTGCCTCACTGTTCAGATTTACCAGAATCAGATATACAAGCACCCAATGAATTATGTTCCTAAATGCTTTGTGTAGCAATATAAATAAAAGTAAATAATCAGGAGTAACTAACGATCACTAATATTCAAATAAAGTATAGGTATTTCTTCATTGCGCCAGTCATAAAAATACTGATTTCATAAAATTAATTCAAAAGTCATTAGTTCTATCTAGAGAATAAAAATAAGAGATTACTAACAGACACTGAAACTCATATCAGTGTATCATAAATTTCCTTCGCCATCACTGATTGTCTACTTCCTTTATACTAACATATAGCTTGCTTCTCTGTTTATTACTTCACTGTAGAATGAGATTCTTCCTTCAATTGCCTTGCAGAGTATTAAAGTGTCCAAATGTTCAACATAGTCATAACACTGAACATTTTCTCCATAAAAAGAAGATACTTGTGGATCTTATTTTAGTTCTAAAATAAGTCATCTGCCCCCCCACATTCACCACCAAAACTCCTAATATTTAATATTTCCCCAAAAATAGAATTTTTTACTTTACATAAATTTATTGAAAATGTCCAATTGTGGGATTGGAGAGATAGCACAGCAGGTAGGGCATTTGCCTTGCACGCGGCTGACCCAGGTTCGATTTCCAGCATCCCATACGGTCCCCTGAGCACCACCAGGCATAACTCCTGAGTGCAGAGCCAGGAATAACCCCTGTGCATTGCCAGGTGTGACCCAAAAAGCAAAAAAAAAAAAATGTCCAATTGTGTAGAGAAATTTGATCATTTAGGCCTGATGAAACATTTTTCTGTCAGAATTTAGCATCTATATTTTTTAAACATATTGAGCATTATGTTTTTTTCAGCACCTACAAAAATAAATATGACCTATTAATCTTAGTAGTGGGCATATAATCAGATTCTAATATTTGGGTGATATTTATACTTAAAAGTATACTTTAAAATTGCTGGTTTGGGATGAGGAGATAGAATAGGAGGTAAGAAATTTGTTTCCCTTGCATTTGGTCAATCCCACTACAAATCTCTGACATCACATGATTCCTTTAAAACATTAGTCATCACTGCTAGGCATCGAGCCAGGAATAGCCCTTGAGAATATCCAGATTGGACAATAAATAATAAAATTGTTGTAAAATGGTTTGTCTGAGATATTTAGATAATTTAGATTTCTCCTTGCAATCATCCTTTTGGGTGACTTTGTTCTCTAAACTTTTATTCCCTAGAGTTCAGGAAAGCTTGTGTTTCCTAGGAAAAGGTGAATGTTTTCCCCTTTATTTTCAGAATCCTCTTAGAAAGCTTGTGTTTCCTAGGAAAAGGTGAATGTTTTCCCCTTTATTTTCAGAATCCTCTTAGAAAGCTTGTGTTTCCTAGGAAAAGGTGAATGTTTTCCCCTTTATTTTCAGAATCCTCTTAGAAAGATGAAATTTTCTTCCTCAACCCAACAATATCCATCACAAAAGAGAAAATTAAGGGTTTGTTTTTTAGTTGTGAGGAAACCCATTCCCATCTCAAAAGCAGAATACTAAGGGGGAAATAAGACTTACTTACATGAAGAAGGTAGAAAACAGGGTCTTCTTTCTTTACAAATAAATTATTACAGCCTTTCAAATTTTTGTTTTTTACAGAAAGTCAATGATTATACTTAACTTAGGTGTCACCAAGTAGATGTTCTTTTAATGGGTCAGTGGTTTAATGTTCAACTTTCTGTTAGCACAGTTCAGAGAAATTTAATTTTTGAAAAAGAAGAGTAATGACAATAAGAAATTCTGGGTATGAGCTCTAGGTTCTGATTATTACTGATGGTGAATTGGAACAGAACATTTGTTTTATTTGTTTGACTTATTATAAATCCAATATTATAGATTTCCCAATGTTATTATCTCATAGGCTTCTTGAAAGAATATTCCTAACTAGGAGATACCTAGGGCAAGTCATACAGTATTGGAGTATATCCTATGAACGTATCATCCCATCAGACAGTTCATCTGGGACCTGAGTTTACAAGTCTCCTTCCATTGTTTCTAGTACAGTGAATCTTGAAGCCTGGCTCCTTTTCTAATTAAAAGGTAATTCCTAAAATGAGAGCTGTCCTAACTCACTACAATCTACACATAGTAGTCCTCCCTCAAATACAAAACAATGTTTTCCAATACTCCCATAGAGACCTAAAACTACAGATACAACACCAAACCCTATAACAAAGAATATATATATGCATTTGCACTATACATATATAACTGATAAAATTTAGTCTATAAATTAGCATAATAAGATAATATGATAATCATATTTATATACCATATTAAGAGTTATGTGACAATTATTTCTAAACAAATATTTCTGAATATTTCCAGAACACATTATTGACCACAGGTAACTGAAACTTATGAAAGTGAAATTGTGGAGAAGGAGGAGTACCGTATTTATTTTTCTTTCACAAGAGCTGTGATATTGTCACAGTGACGAAATTATTGTACTTTGTTCATTACCCTAAAATAGCTTCACTAACAACAAAACCGTATGTTGATACTCTGATGGGTCAGTGGTTTCACCAGGTCTACAAGTTCCTAAGGTAGATCTGCTTCCATATCTGCATTCTTTGCAGTTGTGGGCATATTAACTCCTTTCTTGGTGTTATACTTTGGAATCCATTATCATTTCATCAAAAACTCCTTTTAGGACCAGAATGTTAGTACAGCAGGTAAGGCATTTGCCTTGCATTTGGTCAGCCTGGATTGAATCTTCAGTACCGTTATGCCTCACCAGTAATGACTCTTGAGCATGGCCAGGAAAAAGCCTTGAGCACCATTGGGTATGCCCTAAATACAAACAGAAACTCCTTTTAGAGTACTATGAATTTATAAAATAAAAGGAATCAGTTATTGTGTTGATTTTGTTTCTGTTTTCTGTTTGTGACAAAATGAAACTGTCTTATCTAGTATAACCTAATCTTCAGAGTGACGTACTATAAATTTTCCACATTCTATTTTGTTGATCACATAGATTAGCCCTGATTCTAAGAAATTAAATTGTCCAAGAGTATGATTTTGTCCTTCAGCTGACTGTTTAAATTCTTTTTCTATTATACTTCTCTAACATTTCATGATAGAAACTTGGTGATGATGTGAACCCCTTTTTTGATGATGATTCATGACAACAAAACTATGAGTTCACTACTAAACAAATAATATGAGGCTTTCATTTGGGATGCATCCACTCCATAGATTAAAAATTTTATCCCATGATGCTGTTTAATAAATGTCTTTAGCTTTTTTTAGTAACTGTTTCTCAGAATCTAATGTCATAGCAGTATAAACTTACTTTTTAAAAGATATCCGTGTTGTTTCTACCAAAAAAGGTCAGGATAAGGGCGCGATGCATTTATTTGACTATTATACTAGCAGATGGAGGTGAAATTTTTATCTTATGGAGTTAACTTTGTCTTGCAATTGTCAGTGTCTCATGACAGAAACCCAGTTAAAATGTTGTTTTTAAAAAAGTGTAGGTAGAGTTAAGGAGAATGAGACATCACACCTGAGAGCTTTTGAAACAAGCACAGATGAGAAAATTGGAAATGTCACTCTTTTCCCAGCCACATACTTCCAAACTCGTTATTTTATTGGTTTTTTTTTTTTTTTTGGTAAGGTCACCTCTTTTCTCAACCTTTCCTAAGATAGAGGAGTTACATCTTTAGTAGTTTCAGAGTGTCATGCACATCTTTATCACTTGATCACTTGACACTTGATATCCTGTTACTCATCAATTTGGTCGAGCAGGCACCAGTAACATCTCCATTCCTTCCTGTCGCATGCTAGTGTAGCCTAATGGTGTCTGCTCATTCTAGGAACATGAAGAGCCTCAAACTGATCATTCAGGGTCTTGACGAAAAAGTCTGACCATCTCTTAGGTGGACTACCACACGATCTTTTGATCCAGTCGGTAAGGTTCTAGTCCAGCGGTCATCTCCAAATTGCATTATGTGTCCAGCCTTTCTGATTTTCAACGCCTTGGCAAATGAGATGGCGGCCCTGATTCTCAATCGTCGATGGAGGTCGGAACTCCAAATTCCTTCTCTCACTTGAGTGAAGCGTGATACTCCAAGCATAACTCCTTCGATTCCTCTTTGGGAGACCCGAATAGCGTTCTTATCCTGTTTGCATAGGGCCCAGGTCTCTGAGGCATATGTTAATGCAGGAAGAACAGTGGAATCGAAGTAATATGCCCATAGCCGGAGATTCTTCGTCCTCTTAGCTATTTCTTCGACGCTCTTGAAGGCATTTCAAGCCTCTCTCTCCTCCTGCGCAACTAAGGTACCAGGTCATTCATCATGTTGATTTCTCAACCTAGGTGCACATAACTGTTGCATTTGGAGATGTTCATTCCATTGAGAGTGAATGGAATGTCAGGAATGAGACTGTTTCTCATAAACATTATCATCGTGAGATTTAGCTGTAGTCCGACTTTTCCACACTCACAGAGGAAGTCAGCCAGCATTTGTGCCACTTGGCGAATGTTTGATGTGATTAGAACGATGTTATGAGTGAAGCAGAGGTGGTGTACTTGTATCTTCACTCCCATTCCTTCCCATTCCAGTCGTCGCATGACATTCTCAAAGGTGGCACTGAAGAGTTTTGGTGAAATGTTATCAACCTGCTGAACCCCTCTCTTGATGTAGACGATTACTTTCTTGTAGAATGGTGAGATCCTGGTAGTGAATCCAGAATACAGCTCACGGAGGACCCTGATGTATTGAGTTTGAATACCCTGTTTGGCTAGGGCTTCGATGACTGCTTCAGTCTCAACAGAATCAAAGGCCTTCTTTAAATCAATGAGTGTTAGAGCGGCATCTTGAACTCCTGAGAAACCTCAGTGAGCTTGATTATCATGTGGATATAGTCAATTGTGCTGAATCCTTTTCAGAACCCGGCTTGCTCACATGGTTGTCCTTCATCTAGTGTTCTGCCAATACTATTCAGGATAACTCGAGTGAACAGCTTGTAGACAACAGATAACAGGCAGATCGGGCGATAGTTGCCAATGTCGTGGATATCTCCCTTCTTGTACAGTAGAGCAGTCCTGTGGTTTTCCACTGGGTTGGAACCTTGCATTCAGACAGGTAGCATGTGAAGAGTGGAGCCAGTGTATTGATGAGTACTGACAGCAGGTTCTTCAGGTGTTTGATTCTAACCTTGTCAGGGCCGGGTGCTGTTCACTTCTTTACTGATGAAATGGTGTGTTGGATTTCGGAAGGGAGAACACTGGGAACAAAATATCCATCCTGCAGAATTTGGTATTTGGGCAGGTGGACATGGCTATTGAAGAGATCCGAATCATGGATAATCTTCTCTATTGCCCTTCTGAAAGATGTGATAGATCCATCAGTATATCGGAGGACAGTCATCTTGGTCTTGTAGTTGGAAAAAGACAGGTGAGCGTTGCGAATGCTTTTCCCGGCTTCTGCTGCATCGGCCAGCATTGCTGCTCTTCTCTCTTTGAGGTCTTCCTTTATCGCTTCTCTGCACTGTTTTGCGAGCTCGGACGTTCGCTTGTGGTTGCCTGAGGCTCATGCCAAGCCACGTTGTTCAGGAGTTTTCAAAGACAGGCGTCTTTTCGCGGCTATCTCTCTCTCGGTATTCCTCGCACAATCATGGAGGTGCTGAACAAGTCTATTGTATTCTTTGTCAGTGTTGTCAATGACGGCATCTGGCATCTTCCTATGTTGCCACAATAGTGCCAAAGAGCTTCCAGTTGGTGGTCGTTCTGAGAGTTCTCTTCTTACAGTTTGCAGCCCTTCCTCCCCGCACATCTTTACAAGAAAAATGTATTCCAGGAACTAAATTAAATCCATAATACAAACATTGTCTCAGTTTGGCTTTCTTTCCCAATATTGGGTCAGTTAACTCTGGTCAGAAGACAGCTCTGTTGGCCATAATTTCTTGGGAGTGGGACAATCAGCAACACACACTCTCTCTCTCTTTCTTTCTCTCTTTTTCTCCCCCTCATGGGCATTCTCCCCCAGCCCCGAGGTAATTGTGCCTATCTTTTCAACGTGCAATATTCTATCATTGACATCAATTCAGTGGGCATTGGGGGCTTGATTTTTTAATAATGGAGAAGGATTAAAATCTGATGATAATTTAAGTCTCAAGGAAAACTCATTTTTACAGGATAGTTAAAATCAGAATTTTCAAGAGTGTCAAATACAAGAGTCTCCTGCCCCCGCGCCTGGCTGTCCTCACTGGGGCCCCTTGGAGGGGGGCAGGTTTAGTTTCTCTCTCCCCCCCGAGCAGAGCCCCAGCAGCCAAAGACCTCGAGAACCAGCCACAACCATGCTGAGACTACTCTCCACACATCCGGACAAGCCTCATGCATGAAGGAACCAGCAGAGGAACCCAGGCATGCGGGTCCCGAGGCTGAGATCTGCAAGCCTGCTCATATCGGAACTGGATCTTCTCCACCCAGATCCCCCATCTTCCAGTAGGTAGGCGTCACACCCACCATCTGCCGCCGGCACCAGGTGGTTCCATCAACGGCCAAGACCCAGAGACTATAAAACCCAGCTCCCGGAAGCGCGCGGCCGCATTCATGGCCACACGACATCTTACTATCTCACTCTTACTTTGGAGAACCTGGCAGGCTAC